TGAATGTCTTGTATTTATAGTAGCAGAACACCGAGCCCGAGTTCCAATCCTATTCGAACTAGGTTTCCCTCTCCGGATTAACATTACCTCGATCAGTCCTATCTCTGCTAGGACTACGAATCTAGTCCTTAACTGAGCCGGATTCGCCTTCTAGTTTTACTGATCTCGTCGAGGGTCCCTATTGTATTAGGACTCGACTTGCACTCTGATTTAACCGACCTAGGCCTAGAAGCCCATGAGCTGAACGCCCCATGACCCTCTCGCCGTACGTCTTCCCGGGCCGAAAGTGATTCCTCCCTCGGCCCAAACTGTTATTTTGGGCCCAAACAGCTGCCTAATTTGTTTCTCGTCTAACATGAGTAAGTTTCAATTAAGAGAAAACTTGAAGGAATGAGTGAATATTATCATTTATTGGCTCCAAATTAGAGGTATCATCACCTTCTTGTTGCATAGTAGCTATTGTAAAGGCAAAATCTCCTTCAAGCTCTACTTCAGTAGCTTGCAACTCCTCTACAAACATGACAGCCCTTCTTGCAGCAATTAACTGAGCTTGCAACGACGATACCACGTCCTCACATGGAGTTGTTTATTTTAGTTTTATTTTTTGAGTTTTGTTATCTTTTGGCATTTGAAATATTTTATTATAAAAGAAATGTCGGTCTGATTTGCCTCCTCATGGTGTGGTAGGCAATACTGCCTATTTCACGGTTGGTCTACTCAATTGCTATACAATAACAACAACAATAAAGTTTTCTTCTATCAAGTGAGGTCGGCTATATGAATCATTGAACATCATTGCGTTCGGTTCTGTGTCGCATCTTCCGTTTCCAAGTACTCTAAGTCTTTTCTTAGAGTCTCTTCCAAAGTCCTTCTAGGTCTTCCTCTACCCCTTCGACCCTGAATCTCTGTTCTGTAATCGCATTTTCTAAACGAAGCGTTAGTAGACCTTCGTTTCACTTGTCCAAATTACCGTAATGATTTTCTCTCATATTTCTTTCAATTTCGACTACTATTACTTTACCTCGGAACTCAATTGCTATACTATTGAAACTAATTTGAATTGGCGTGACTCATCAAAATGAATTTGTCTACTCGATCACATGTGTTACTTTGCATATACGAGGAGCTAAAGAGACATTATGGATCTCAACCGTTGAACCAAAACGAAAAACTTCAACCCATAACTTCTTAATCGTTACACTTAATTTGAATAATTCGATGACAAGAGATGGGAGATTAGTCAATTCCAACTAAATTGAATTTCCAAATTAAAGGTTATGGTATCACCAATCAATACAAGGTGTCATCGGTGTTCTGCCATGTGGCCGCACCAAACCAAAGCTAGGCCACCTTCCTCTAATAGAAAATTTTTTAGCTGTGACGGAAACACAAGTGGTACATCACGTATTTTAATAGGAGTGGTGAAAAATTCTATTTTTTAAATTATTAACTTTTAGCACATATATGCCACAATTTGTATAATGACACATAGTATACTATCATGTATACCAATCACATTGAAAAATCTTTTCCTCTGATGGCACTGCCACCACCCGATTCCATTTACGCCGAGAATTTGCGTAGTGTATGTTGTGGCCGACCAGATCAAAACTCGGAACGACTTTCCCACGTGGATCTCTTTACTCTCATTGGCCCAACAAGGTGGGGTCACTTCTCTTTTAGAGCAACAGAACAGAAGTAACCAGTAATCAGGTCAACCATGCTCACAGCCACGTGGCCAGATCTCCAACACGGTCCCCCTTCGCGTTGAAGGGGAGCAAAGTATTCTATGCTCCTTCCTGCATGGACTGCGGGACCCACATTAGGGTAAGTATAACTGTATAAGATAGTCTGACCTGGTAATCCGCCTTCCTCGCCGATTTCCTGCATGCGAAAATATTTCAACGACTGCAATAATCGCGAGGACGAAACTTATTTGGGAATTATATGCATTATTTTTGTTTAATTTATTTAATTTAATTGTCGTAAATAAAGAAATATGTGATGGGCGAGAAAATTTGAACAACTTTTTGTGAGGATAGTTTACATTGCCGTTATCAAAAGAATAGTTGGAGATGCCAGATCTTTTAGGCTATATTATATTTGCCCCGGGAAGTAAGCCATTCAGCCTATCTTTGCTCTATCAAAAGAAGAGTTACACATTTTAATGAGTTAAGGGATCAATGATAATAAATTTTTAATTGAGAAATAATTACTCTAATTTGATTAAAGTTGAGAGATCATGACTACAATTTACTCTTTCTTTAAATCATTAAAGAAATAACCCATCTATCAACCACCATAGAAAAAACCCACATAATGTAGCGTTGCATAGTTGGATAGGATAGATTGTGACTCGAATTAAAAGTTCTCATTAAGATGGATAGGATAGATTGATTTGTTGTTATCCTATTTTGGAATTTATGGCATGTGTAAGATTGTTTTATCTTATGTATGTAAGTTGAAGTTGGTATTGGAGATAAATTTTACGTTTTCCAATTTTTTTTTAAATTATCGTTGTTGTTATTATCATTATTATTATTATTAAGGGGAATGAGAGGGAAACTGTTACAATAATTTAAAGAGACATGAGAGTTTCAAACTCAAAACACATTAATAGAAACCCAACATCATATTTATTAGGATATTGAACCACATGCATAAGATAAAGAACTTGGATATGGAATTATTCTCTAACAAGGTGCTTAAGTAAGCATCTTTGACCATCTTTGTTTTTTTTAGAATATAGGATGGATATATGTGTAATGAGGATAGGGTATTGGGTTTCCACGTATGCGTTCTAGACTCAAAACTTCCACTTTTCAAAATTAATGTAATACTTTTGAACCCTCCCATCTCCCCCTTAATAATAGTAACTAAAAAAAATTATTTTACGAATGACACTATGCTGTGTTCTTGTTGTTTATCGAAAAAAAGAAAATGGAATCAATGTTCTTAATTATGTCCAATACTTTAGCTTGTAAAATATAAATAAGCTCTCACATGGTATAATTAATTAAGTCATAACCCATAATTCTGCGATCTTGCTCTTATTCTAGTGGAACTTTTATTCTCAACAACAATATAGAAAAGTTGGAATTCCTCCGACTCAGTGATAAAAATTGTATACATTATTTGAAGAATGCATGTATGCCTTTGAGAGAGAAAAATAGGTCGGAACTTAATTTGTTAGGTTAAGAGTTCGATTATCTTTTGTTCCAGCCAATGAAGGATTATCTTTTGTTCCAAAGAAAGTCATAAAAAATATCAAATATTTGTTCTATAACAGCCATGTACGTGGCAACAGACTCACTTGTTAATCAATGTCCTTCTCCTCCGCTGTAGTAGCATTTAGTTGGGTGGCAAACAATGGAGTGGACAGTCTTGTTATTTTTAGTGCTTCACCACTGCTTTGATTCAACATGGTGAAGACAAGGCCATATGAATACAGTAGCTGGTGCTGTATGATTTATCTTGTCTTCTCACAAGCAAACAGTACTACTACTATAGTACTGCTTCTGAAAATGGCCCTTCTCCTTTTATTTGAGACCTGAATTTCTGTCTCTAAATTTGTCTCCATCTTTTTCTGGGTTTGTCTGCTATGGTTATTATGATTTTGTTTGCCTAATGGACTCTCTGAAAATGCGTTTTGGCTTTTCCCTTAATTCAAAAACATCAAAAACTGCTTTTGTTTTCTCCTATCAAAGACAATGGCCAAACAGGGAATAACTTCTGCTTCAACCTCATCTGTCTTTCCCTTCCAAATCAAAGCACCAAGCACTTCTTTGTCCCTTGAGTCTTTGACGGTTTGCACCAAATTTCCGGATAAATATCAATGCCCCAATCCAAAACAAACACTCAAATACAAAATAAATAATGCCAAAGTATAGGTTGCATGCAATTTTGTCACATACATTATTGCACACTTCACAAATTTTGGTTTTCACTAGTCTATATATAAATCCCAACTTTGCAATATGACCATATACAGCCCTCATAGTTGATCAGATCGACCAAGAATTTTAGTTTATCCAATTTTATTTTCCTTCTATATACATAATTAATTTCTTGAATTAAATTCCACGACATTTGCTTGGTCACTTTGTCTAGCAAAGAAATGGAATTAGTTTATCTTTATCCGATTCTATATATCTTCATATGCCTAATTTTCTTGGATAAATTCGACTTTAATTTTGTTTAGACAAATGATTGAATAGTACACTAAATTCATCTAAATCTAAGTTTGAAAATTGTATAGTTTCATTAAATTTAAGTACACATGGTGGAGTACAATACTATAGCCAACTTGGTTAAACAATATTGTCTTCATTGGACTTATCTTAATATATTTATCATGTGATTACAATACTCCATATGGGTCATAACCTTTTTCCTTAAGTCACATTATTTGGTCACTTTGACTAGCTCGTGGAACAAGTCACTGGGAGGAATATGATAATTTATCTTTAGAAAAAGTGTTATCTTTTTCATTGTTTTTATGTTAGTAACTCAATTGCTACATATAATACTAACAAAAAAAAAATTACTACATATAATATGGGAAAAGTTTGTGACCCTTTTTCTTGAGTGAAAAAGAAAGGACTTGGATTTCTGAGATTCTCACTCAGTGCCGTTATAAGGCACATGATACTTCAGTGGACAGGAATCCTGGCAGGATCTAGGAATCAAATTCCCATGAATTTTTTTCTTCTTCTTTTGAACAAACGATATTATCTGGCTGAACTTAGCCTCATAATGGGCTAACAATAATGTGGTTTAAATTCATCTTTAGCGAGAATCGAACCTAAAACCTCTCACTTATAAGTGAAGAATAATATCATTAGACCGTGATACTAAATTACCAAGAAACTTTTTTTTTTTTAATGAAAAAAAAAAGTTTCATGGCCACTTAGTACTACTGTCTAAGTGGTAATGAAACTTATTAATTCAAGTAAATAAAAACAACTCTTTTCCAAAAATAAATAAATAAATACAGCTAATTAAACAATAAAGAAAAAAAGTTTCCTTGAAACTGGAACATTTTTTTGTACATGGTAGAAAAAGGAGCTATAAACTTCCAAAAAAAAAAAGGTAGTACTCTAAAAACTTCCACAAAAAAATGAGAGAGATGAAAATAAAAAACATAAGGTTAACCTAATTAATTAAAATGGTAGTAGTTACTACTCTTTCCCTAAAAGCACTTCTTGTGGACCTCCATGAAAGCGGCTTCTTCTAAAATCAGTGGGCCAAAAGCTACTCCATTCCCCTTCCATTTTTTTTTTTTATCCCTTCCTAATCAATGTTGCACCATTGCTTGTGGCCTGGGACCCACTTGGGGCACTTGGGGCTATGGTAGTTTGAGACCACCCTTGTGGTCAAGAGCTCCACAATGGGTGCAAATTTCACACACCTAGGGGTCTTGTATTGGTTAATGGAAGCTCCCAAGCTAATGGCATAGTCCATGAGCTTGTCAAACGTCCCCGTCTCGACAATCTTGATCTCGAGTGGTCCGATTGACTTGTCGGAGGCCCGGCCTTGCCGGTAGACGCTGTTCAGGGATTCTTCGACGGTGAGGCAACAGTCCTCAAAGACCGAGGGTGGGACTGGAGTTGTCCCATTGAAGCTAAGTTCCCAAAAGAGCACATAGTGTCCCGGGATTGTTGTTGTGTCCGCATAGCTAGTATATTCCGTCACGGTGGCCTCGAACGGGACTAAATGGTTCACGGCATTTTTCACTGCGTTTTGGAGCTCCACCTCATCAGTCTTGTCCGAGTCAATGCTCAGGACAACATTTTTCCTGCAGATGAAGTTGAACTGCGGTGCCTTGTTCTTGAATGAGGTCACTCTTAGCACATCCCCCACTCTGTAGCGGTACAGTCCTGCGGATTAAATAGTCCCAGGTCAATCTTCAGCACCAAAAATAACAAAATTTGTAATTTCATGAATTAAATCACTTAAAACACAAAAAAATTAATTAAAAAATAAAAAAAGTTACCACTTACCAGCATATGTTGTGACAACAAGCTCATATTCTTGTCCAAGCTTCACATCTGCAAGATCAACTAGTTCTTGATGCTCCTTCTCATTTAGTGATTTGCGGACAGAGACGGGATTAGTATTAATCCCATTGTTCCTCTGGACCGGGAGGAACTCAAAGTATCCCATGGTGGGAATAAGAGTGTAGGACACTTCACTGGGTTTGCACAGAGGGTTTAGATTAACACCAAAGTAGCACTCCGAAGAGGCATACATAGTGCAAACCAGAGGCAGTCCGTTGCTGTAATAGTCCAGTGTCGGAATGTACTGGGACATAGTCCCGGTCACAATCACATCCACATACTTTGTGTTTGGCCAAAGCCTGGTAATAATCCCATGCCAAGAGTCCCTCCGGCACTCACCCTCAATGAAACTTGCAAGCTTCGGATCAGGCTTAAGGATCTTCATCACCGCCTCGCGGACCGACGGGTCTGTAATCTGGGGGTTAAGAGTCCCGGAGGCTATGTCCTTGCACAAAATAGTCCAGTGCTTCTCAAGAAACCTGATGGCCCGGATGAAGCCAGAGGCGAAAACAGCGCCGACTCGGAGGACTTCCTTGTTCTGGCAGAGGCCGCAGAGGAGTTGGGAGTACATGCTTTGGTAGGAGTCCGGGCAGAGGATGGTCTCATTGGGGCTGGTGTAGTTAGTGTAAGGGTCATAGGGTCTTTGTTTGAAATGTGAGCTTTTGTAGTAGCTGGTTAGGACCGGCCTGGCCACAAGTCCGCCGGGGGTTTTGGCCTCGGATTTTATGAACAAAAAGTACATTCCTTTGCCCTTGTCCAGTCCGGGGACATACTGGCTCATCACAGGCATCAGCAGACTGTAAAGTAAAGACCTCCTCTCTAGCTCCTCTTCAATTGTTGGCATCAGTTTTCTTTCCCCTCCGGATGTGCCAGAACTGCAACAAAAACAAGCCCGTTTAGCCTAACCATTAAAATAACCGCAGACCTAGACGTAACCAAGTTGGCTACAACAGTATGCTATACCCAAGTTCGAATCCCAGTCCAGTTGTTTACTAATTATTTATAATATTAATATCGCTTGAATCAACAAAATCATCCAAATAATCAATTACAAAAGTTGATCTAAAGGCATGAAGAAATGTAAAATGTAAAAACCCACCTGGTCAAAAACTCAGAAATGGGCTTGGAACAGAGGATATGGGAGGTGTCACCATTGGCGATACGGTTGATATCGGACTGGATATCTTCGTACTTGATAACGGGCATGATTTTTTTGAAAGTGTCACGGTCAGTGTGACCGTTGAGGCCGTGGCGCTGCAAGTACTCGACGTGAGCATTGCGGGTGAGTATTTCAGCGAGGACTCGTTTTTGAACCTCGTGGGGGGTTTTTGTGACTTCTTCGATGAAGTGAAGGATCTTGTTGTTCTTGTCTTGGAGGTTATAGTCCTCCGTGGGATTCAGAAATTTCTTCGGTGCTTCAGGCATGGTGTTTGTGTGTAGTTTGGAATTAGAGAGAGAGAGAGAGATTGGCTTGAAACTGTATGAGAGAGAGAGAGAGAGAGAGAGAGAGAGAGAGAGAGAGAGAGATGGTGTGATGAAAACTAGATGATGGTTTAGGAGTGGGGGAGAAAGAAAGGGAGAACCGGTGTTTATATAGAGCAGGGAAATGGAGGTGGCTTTGCTTTCACCTGTAGGGTTATATGGGGATGGGAAAGTAAATACAAGAATAAAATGAAGGGCATAGTTGTAAATGTCCACCGTTATTATCATTTTGTTTTCCTTTTCTCAACATTTGCTACTCTCACATGAAAACATGGGAGTTTCTATTTATTCATTGCCGTCATTGGTTATAACTAATTCCACTGAGTATCTCACACATTCCGTTATTGGACTAAACCGTGAACTTGAATCCCTCATTTAATTATGAGTTCCACAACATGCTATGCAAGATTGTAGCACATTACTAGACTATGCAGTTAATTTGAATCGTTCATTCAACAAAGAGTATACTGATATAACATGCCACATCAGTGTTACATTACAACATCATATATCAGACTACCGACGTATTACACTACTAGCTGAATTAGACTTTTAAATTGTATTACGCATTTAATAAAAAGTTTAACAATATAACATGTCAGACTGACGACATGCTACAATAATAGCTAAACTATACTATTATTGTAAGTTATTCAATCAGTCAAATTCTGACAACATAACACAGCAACCACAAAAATAAAATCAAAAGTGAAGCAACTTTCCTATGATGTACATCAAATCTTTACAAACCTAAATCCCTTTCCCAATTGGACAATTCTATTTCATGGAAATCCCACTAACTTTAGCTCAAAATGAGATATTAATGCTATAAAAATCTTAAAATCAAATCACTTTTATGTGAACTTTGTCCTTTTGCAAGCCTAAGTTTTTAACCCGTTTTAAAACCCCTTTTTCCTATTTCGAAAGTAGTGGACTACTTACTTACTACAATGCATAGACCTGTAAACGGGTCAGGTTTATTGGGTTTGGGTCGGATTCAACCTGACCCGTTAAGTTAACGGATCACCCGTTAACAATTATTATTATTATTTTTTTTTGCATAGAGTTTATAATTTGTTGTTAAGACTTTATTGAAATAATTAAAATATCCTCAACTAACGGGTGCTAACGGATTGACCCAACGTGACACGTTAACGATCTGACCCGTTAAGCATCCACCTAAATATTAATATTAACAGGTCGGGTCAGGTCCAAAATGTCAGGTCTAACAGTGCATATCAAAGGGTACTTGTCGTACAAGGGAAAAGAAAAAAAACAGAATTATACAATTTATAACCCACCATCGTAAGGTGTTTAAATTCCATTGAAAGTCTTAAACAAATATTTACAGCCGGCAATATCCGGTAAACCTGCAGTAGGTACACTCTTTACATGCGCGCATGTACCACGGATCTATCACAAAATACCGGCAGCCACTTCATTTATTTTTTATCGCCGGTGGTTTTGCATTACCCATTAATCAGAATTGGAAAATGACGTAATGACGATATTTTAACGTGATACTTAATATTACTTTTACTATATATTTGTACTATTATCATTTTTCTAATAGAGATATGATCCACATACGTTGGCGGACCATACCTTCATTAAAGAGATAGTACACATGATGATACAAATAGGTAATAAATGTAGCATTACTCTTTAGTCAATGTTTAACAAGTATAATCCGGAAGAAGAAAAATAGTGTGTGTTGTAGTGTACGGAAAAAGACTTGGAGGGTTACTTGTTCAAGTATTCAAGTGGGACTAACCAATTGATTGCCAACTTGAATACAAATAGATAATAAATATAACATTACTCTTTAGTCAATGTTTAGCAATGTTTAGCGAGTATAATTCGGAAGAAGAAGAATAGTGTGTGCAGTTGTGTGCGGTAAAAGACTTGGAGGGTTACTTGTTCAAGTATCCAAGTGGGAGCAGCCAGCTGGCTGCCAACTTGGTTTGTCGACACGTGTATGATTGGACCTCCTGTGCCTGCACGTTGTTAGTCTGTTGGGGAGTACAGTTTTCTTCGGCTGGAACTCCTCCACTCCTGCAAAATGTTATATTTGCTTTGCCTTGGAAATAGATTATTTCTACGACTCGACAACCAGTGACAAGTTAATCTCTATTTTTTGTTCTTGATGTGTATGGTGAGTATTCCCTATAATTAAAGCATTAATCTCGTTCCATTTGAAGAAGGGGTGAAACCTGAAATATATGACATGCTTCTATCCCGATGTCCTAAATAGTCACACCATATTATCTTGCTACATTGTATAAATAAAATTTATACGCATGATTTATATGTTCTCAGCATATACATTCATTAAATAGCTTACGTTATTTTCGGGTGTCGACCAGCATGTGACTATCCTGAAGTGGATCAGAACATGTCAATATAAAAGACACATTTATATTTCCAACTAAAGGTGCTCGGTAAAGATGATGAATGATAATATATAAACCTTTTTAGATATTGATGGCCAACTACTGTTGTGACTATTTACTAATGAGAATATTGGATGAGCTTGACAAAAGAGTAAAGAAACCAATATGATTTTGGAGGGAACAAAATCATGGGTGGCATTGAAATTTGGGGATTTCGACTCAGTTTAATCCAATATTTGGACTTTCATCCATTATAATTGAATGCGACAACTGAGTAAAATTCTATAGGAAGATATTCTTATAATAATTTGGGGTTATATCTCAACTTACGCTGCATAGTTCCTTTCTAGCTGCTTTACATTAATACTGCATATGGTATCAAAATGTGATTTCTTTTGCATTACTCGCTAAATGAATATTGTATTAATTAAACTAATAGTTGTCTCATTAGAGTGAGGATAAGATCATAAATTTCCTACATTAGGTTAACTTCATTTTGTTTGAGACGACTTGCAATATTCCATGTCCTCCTTGGTAAGCCTATAATTCATGATGGATCCTCTAATTTAAAAAAAAATAAAATAAAAAAAGAGTACCTTATATAGAAAAGAACATTAATTAGTACATGGAATTGCATATATACACGCTTCTAAGATGTCTCCTTTAACGTTTTCCGTAATATTCAAGGGATTATGAGTATTATGCGATTATAGGAAGACTCGAGAGGGTTGGATTTTTGTGTGTATGAGGAGATGCTTCCTAATTTGAAGTGGTAAGATGGTTGAATTTTGAATCTTTGATAATATGAACACAAAGTGATAAAAAGAAAGTTAACCTAACCCTAGTAGAGTGGGTAGATGAAGAAAAAAACTCTTGTCATTTATTTATAAAATGTTATTTTTTGTTACTTCTTGAAGAACTTTGATCGATTTAAGTGCTGGGATATGTGAAAAGAAAAACCTTAGAGATCGAAAGCCACAAAAGTCTTCTTTTCTCTCTAACAAATTTGTGGAGAATTTCCATCATTTGCGAGCACGTAGTTGCAGCTTGTCTTGTTCAGATTGTTGGGTGACTAGATTGGCATGCATGATTTCTTTGCTCCTACAAAGAGAGAAACGAGAGGACACACGCACACGTCAAGGTGGACTTAACTTTTTCAAATGCCAGATATAGTGAGAAAATAATTTCGCCTATATTATTTGGTCTGCCCTCTTAAGGTTTTGATATTCGTTTGTATCTTATTTATGTACTTCTTGATTAGAAATAGGAGGATAAAGACGAAAGCACCAGCTGGCACTACTCGGTTAAGCTTAGCAAAAACCTGCCTCCTCTCAATATTAAGCTTATTTATTCAAACACATTTCTTTGTCAACCTTCAAGTGGAATCAGGCTATCTCAAAGTTGCACGTATGCAACGAATAACTCATAAATCTTAGAAATAAATAACAATTAGTTTGGAAAAATGGGTTAGAATGTGATTAGCTTGAGGGTTCGATTTCTTCTAATGTAACAGAAAAGAAAGAACACGGTTATGCACCCTGCTGGAATGGTTAACTATAGGCCTGAATCCAAGAAAAAAAGTTGTTTTGCAAGCTTACATAAACTATCTAATTTATCACAAAGAAAATAATACGTACAGCTCAAAGGAGTAGCAGTCATTAGTCCTAACATTCGATACCTAACGTGTCCAATTATAAATGAAGTTTAGGTCAAAGATAATCCTATTCATACCACAGGCAATGCCAAATTGCCAACATTAGAGATTTTAGGGGACCATTTTAATCAATAGTGCTTTAATTATTGACTTTAACTCAAACAACAATTCCTCTTTATCCTTAAACAAGCAAGGGCAAGGCAAGTTTATGATTTTACAAAAAAATAAAGTGCTTAAGAAGTGCTTTTCATAGTACAAAAAAACTCTTTCAAATAACAAAGAAGTCAAGAGCATAGCCATGTGCACATATATAAGCAGAGTATGACTCCTGGACTTAAAGATAAGTTGTATCAAACTCATTATTAACGATATTTGAACCTAAAATACAAAATGACAAGTCTTGTCATTTGGTAGCATTGCTACCAAGTTGTCACGACTCAAGGAAGCACTCATTAGCTACCTCGTCACTAAATTTCAAGACTATGTTTCGGTGAGGGATTTCCAAATGTCGAGGGTTTGAGGTCAATTTAGTTAGCAATGAATTATAAAATATTAGATAAGTGGAATTAGAAATGCACCATATAAGCATTACAGAGACATGTAATCGGAATCTGAAAACCCCTTTTACATGCTTATGGAATGCTCATCTGGTGCATCTCTATTATTTCTTATATAACATTTTGTGATCCTTCCCTTACTAACTTGACCGCACTCTCTTGTGATTTGGAGTCTAGAAGTCTCTCACCTAATCACAGTCAAAACAACTAATTAATTATCTAACCCTTATCGACCTAGTATTTCACCGATGGAAGACTCAACGCATTCATCAATATACACTTCACGGGGAGCTGTCTCAATCTGACCACGTGTCAAAGCCCCACCTCAGTCGTCATTTGTTCACCCTTTTGGCCTAATCTAAGACTGGTCAAACCCCCGACCGGTAATATGATTGGATGGCGAGGAACCGAGCAAGTTCAGGGTCAGAAAACCCCAAAATAATGGTGGGAAAATGTGACCCAAAG